CATGACTGGTATTTACCCACTCCACTGGCTTTCTCTTTCTTTGAGACAGAAGCACAAGGAGTTATTTCCGAAGCTCTAGATCCCCTGAGTGCCAAGAGAATAGAATAACTACAGGCAGCATTTGTGCATTCGAAGCTCAACTCAGCAGCAATTCCCCAAGCTGCCTTTTATGGGAAATTGCTGTGTTTCAACAGGAATTTGAAGAAGGGCCCACAAAATATTAAAAGGCATTTTCTGTATCTGGAAATGGAGTGTATCAAGGGCAGCTGTCACCTGCACTGCAGTGGCCTCCTTGAGTACCGGCTCCCTTACAGATGAGTCAGATTCTAAGGTAGTATAGAAAATTCACAGGTGTGTGCCAAGCCTGCCCCAGGACTGGGTAAAACCAACCAAAGGGAATGATTTGTGTGAATCCAAAAGTGAACTACAGATTGTGTAACATCAAAAGTTTGAAAACCCCAAAACCCAATCACATAAGGCAGAAAGGCTTCAATTTTCTACCTCCTATGGATAATTACAAAAAACACGAATTGCATTTTGGCTTTACATGTGTAAGAGAAAAGAAAAATCAGGATTTGAAAGATAGGTAAAAGAAAGTAAGGATACAAGAAAACATTATAAGCACACACACAAAAAAGCATATTCAAAGTCCCAAGTACATGAATGAACTCAGTATATACATTCATGGAGTTGCAAACCACTTGCATGGTGGCCTACAGCGTGTATCAGAGGGAAGAAAGGAGGTTACAACCAAGGACAATTAACTAGATGCTAACACTTTCCTTAAGCAGCACACAAGTCCGTAGAATTCCAGTCTACTTCATCTCTTCCATATACATACTAGCATCTAAATTTCTTGAGTACAGAAACTATTTTTTCTCTTATTTATGATGGACTCCAAGCATCAAGAATAGTGCCTGGTACACAGTAGGCACTTAATAACTATTTGTTGAATGAAAAAATGAACACACGAAGTACGAACTCAGGGATTCTGTGGATCAACTGAAGGTTCAATAGAAGAGGTGATCAATAAGCAATAGATATTGTTATTATAACTACTATTCATGTCTGTGGTTAAATATGAACGCACAGTGAAAATTTTTACTTAATTGTGCTGGGTATCAAATTTGAAGGATTTAGTTAGTTTGTTTGTTTTTTTAATTAAGCACGACATAAAATGAAATAAATAGATCTTGTGTCATAATCTGATGCTTTTTGACAAATGTTCAAGATAGGAAATAATTGCCATCACTCCAGAAAACTCCCTGTGTCCATATCCTGTCAACTGCACTTGCCCACAGAAGCAATTCTTCTTCTGATCTCTAACTCCATAGGTAAGATTTGCCTCTTTTTGAACTTTATGTAAATGGAATCACACAATATAATCTTCGGTGTCTTCACACAATATAATCTTTTGTGTCTTTCTTTAGTTCCATATAATGTTTTTCAATTCATCCATATTGTTGTTACTAGGTAATTCTATTTTATTAATACACCGTATTTTATTAATACACCATAATTAGTTTATCCATTTCCTTGTTGATGGATGTTTGAATTATTTCTGATGTTTTGCTATAATGAATAAAGTTGTGATGAACATTCTTGTACAAGTATTACTTTTGGATATATGTTTATATTTCTTTGGGATAAACAGGAGTAAAATTGCTAGATGATAAGATTTGTATATGTTTAAGTTTATTAAAAAAACACTTTTTGGTCAGACACGTGACTCATACCTGTGATCCCAGCAATTTGGTAGGCCAAGGAGGGTGGATCACTTGAGGTCAGGAGTCTGAGACCAGCCTGGCCAACATGGTGAAACTCCATTTCTACCAAAAATATAAAAAATTAGCCAGTGTGGTGGCACATGCCTGTAATCCCAGCTACTCGAAGGGTGAGGTGGAGTCTCGCTCTGTCATCCAGGCTGGAATGCAGTAGCTCAATCTTGGCTCACTGCAACTTCTGCCTCCTGGGTTCAAGTGATTCTTGTGCCTCAGCCTCCCAAGTAGCTGGGACTACAAGCACACATCACCATTCCTGGCTAATTTTTATATTTGTAGTACAGATGGGGTTTCACCATATTGGTCAGGCTGGTCTCGAACTCCTGAACTCAGGTGATCCACCTGTCTTGGCCTCCCAAAGTGCTGACATTACAAGTGGAAGCCACTCTGCCCAATCATCTTTTTTATTTTCTAACAACATCTTTATATGAGCACAAGTTTTTAATTTTGATGAAGCATAGTTTATTTATTGTATGCTGAATGGTTTTTCATATTTGGTTTAAGAAATCCGAGGCTCACAGATCACAAAAATATTTTCCCATATTTTCATGTAGAAAGTTTATAGTTTTACCTTTTACATTTAAGCCCATAGTCTATTTCAAGTAATTATTTATGCATAATGTGAGCAATGGGTTAGGGCTTAATTTTTTTCCATGTAGATTCCCAGTTGATCCATTACCATTTATTAAAAAGACTTTCCTTTTTCCTGTTGTCATAATCATTCATCAAAAATCATTTGAATGTGCTTTTGTGGATATATTTTCATTATTTCATCATTAATAAGATATGAGCTTATTTAATATATATTATACATAGTAAAATAACTTAGAATAAAATAGAAAAACTTTAAAACTAGCAAATAAAGAATTTCATCAGATGCATATATTTATATAATATATGCATAATATATGAAGTCAGAGCTTCAGTGGATCAACTGATCGATATAAGAGGTTTTATATATATATATATATATATGAGGCATAATACATATGAATAGATATGTAATATATATTATAGGGTTTTCATAGATACCCTTTGTCAGATTGAGGAATTTACCATCTTTATCATAACTGGATATTGAATTTTTTCAAATGCTTTTTCTGCATCTATTTAAAAGACCATATAATTTCCCCCTTTACTCTGTTAATATGATAAATTATATTGATTTGTTTTAAAAGTTAAACTAATATTGCATTCCTAAGATAACCCCCACTTATTCATGATGTATTATCCTTTTTAAAATATATTATTAGATTATGATTAGTAACATATTAAAAAACTTTGTATAGAGTGGTGTTATTTCTTTTAAATATTTGACATAGTATAGACTGAAGCCATCTGGTCCAGGAGTTTCTCTTTTGTTTTTTTAAAATAGGAAAGTTTTTAGGTATATTTTCAGCTTTTCAGCAAATATGAGCTACTCAGATTGTTAATTCCTTTATGTCAGTTGTAGAAAATTGTGTTTCTTCAGAACTTGCCCATTTTATCCATGTTGTCAAATCTGTTGTCATACATTTTTCATAATATTCTTTTCATCTTTTTCATGCCTTTAGGATCTGTAAAGTCTGTAAGTGATAGTCCCTCTTGCATTTCTAATATTGGTTTATTTGTGTTTTCTCTCTTGTGTGGGATCATTATTGGTAGGGATTATGAATTTTATTAGTCATTTCAAAGAACTAGTTGGCTTTGTTGATTTTTTTCTACAGTTTGTATTCTACCTTGTTGATTTTTAGTCCTGTATTTATTATTTTTTCTTCCTATTTCATTTGTTTACTTTGCTCTTTTTTTAACTTTAAATTTATAAGATTAAATCATTGACCCTGAATTCACACTTTCCTTTTTTTATTATAAGTATTTAAAACTATGAATCTCTGTTAGTACGCCTTTAATCTTATTCTTCAAATTTTGATATTTTGTGTTTCCATTATTATTCTGGCCAAAGTATTTTCTAATGTCTTTCTGATTTCTTGTTTGACCTATAGGTTGTCTAGAAGTGTGTTGCCATTCCCAAAAATTTGGGGATTTTCTAAGTATATGTTTGGTACTAATTTTTATTTTAATGCTGTTATGATCAAATAATGTATCTTGCATTATTTCAATTCTTCTAAATACATTGAGACTTTCGTTTTATGCTCCAGAATGCAGTCTTCTTTGGTGGATTTCCCATCTGCACTTGAAAGGCTGTGTATTTTGTAGCTGTTGGGTGTAGCATGCAAAACTTTCCTAAGCTTCCTCATTACTGTTCTTTTCTAGGAATCTGTCACTGTCTTCCCAAAGTCAGTGCTTTTGTTTGTATAGTATTTCCTCTGATTTCAGTCAATTACATTATGAGTCCCACACCACATCCTGTATCTTCCTTCCCTTTAAGGTCAGTCGGGCCTCCATTTGATGTACTAAGTGAAGATAAATTTTAAGATGCTGGAGTAGTTCAAAGGTCATGCATTGCTTGTCAAATAACAAACCAATAAAAAAGAATACCAAAAAAATGAGATAACAATATATAAACATAGGCTTCCTTTTGGATCTTTTTTATTCCAGTCTTTATATGAAATTATAGTGACTTAACCATTGAATTATGAAGGAATAAAGAGGGGCAAACTGGGACAGATATTGTCATTGCATGTATGAGATCATCTGTAAATTCCCTGCAACGTCTCTCCTCTCTGACTCAGGTCGTGATATGTATGATACATAACATGATTTTTTTCTTTGTATGCTGATTTTTTTTTGTATTTTTCAATAGTTAATATACATGTACTTGAAAATATGCTTTACAAGAAACATGACCTCCCTCTCTAAACCTTGATTTACAGAAGTGATACATTTAAGTTTTCAAAATTCATTTATTTAAAGTAGAAGACTGAGTACATGAGAATATAGAGGGTTAGTTCATATGGCAATTATCACGGTACACAACTAGGAAGTTTAAGTAAACTTCTGTGATCATTGCTATCTAGTCAACACTTACTAGTGTAATGCTGCAACCCAAACTTCAGTGTCTTTAAATTACCCTAAATTCAAATCCTTCCTACTGGGAAGGATTTGAATTGCACCTTACAGATGTAGTCTGCCTTGTTGCAAGAAAGACGTGCTCTTGACTGTGAGATGGGATCTAGAGCAGCTCAACAGAAAGCGCTTGGGAGAAAGAAGCACTATGAGCCCCTTTCTTCTTCATGCTTTCATCCCTCCCCTGCATTCAGCTCACAGAAGGATGCTCACCTTTTCCCATTCCCGGTCTTTGTTCAGCACAATCACCACCAGCCTAGGGTGCACCTGGTAGCCTTCCTCAGTGAAGGATAAGTCCTTGCCATCCCATGTCACATTGACCATAAACCTAGAAAGAGGGAGAGAGAAAGACAAATTTTTAGGAAAGAATTCAAGCAATTAAACAAATGAGTGGATGCCACCATTAATGGAATACTGAAAAATTACAAACTTACAATGCTATATTCATCACAAGAAGCCTCTCTGTAGAAGTATGAATATCCATGCAACGATTGCAGGTTGACCAGGCTTTAGTAACTGACTGTAATTTAACACATGGAATGTAAGCTTTACATCCTGCCAGATCCATAGACCTATGTTCAAATGATCTTCTTATAGGAAGATCTGAAAGCACATTCTATTATGCTCTAACAAGCTTCCCTGAAGGAAGCTGCTTGCCTGTAAACCACATGACATCCAATGTTGAAGAAATGACATTCCATCTATTCATTATTTATTCAACTAATATATATTAAGCATTTACTACGTGCCAGGACTCAGCTAATTGGTTTAGGGTAAATAAGAAAATGGACATGATTGCTGTCCTCATGAAGTTTAGAGTCTAAGGGGAAGGATAGACATTAATTGATTAATCACATATTTATGACAAATGCTACAAGGGAGAGTATGCTATAAGAAAGTGAAACCAGGGTAAGGCAATGCTGAGGAAGTGCAGCTTGACCTGAAGAATGAGTTGGCATTACCTAGATAAGAAAAGACACAAACAGGCAAAAGAGACAACAGGTACAAAGACCCTGTGATGTGCATACAAGGAACTGAACGCAGACCACTGAGGCTGATGCAGAGAAAGACAGGAAAATGTAAGATCAGGTAAGGCTGAGAAGATGAATAGGAGCAGACAGTGCAGGATTTTAGAGACCATGTTAAATGTTGTCTGTCTTAAAACCATGGAAAGACATAGAAGTGAAGGTGTCATCAGGAGGTAACAGATTATGCCACTTGAAGGTTGTGTAGAGAACAGATTAAAGGGGAACCAGAGTGGGTACAGGGGGACTACTTACAGTATTCTTATAATCCAGGTCAAAGATAATGGTGATTTTGACTCCAGTTTTGGCCAAAGAAGAGGATAAGAAGGAGGAGAAAAAGCAGCAGCAAACAAGACTGAGTGGAGAGATATTTAGTAGGTATTTAGTGAAAGATTAGATGAGGTTAAGGGAGAAAGAGGCATCAAGGATGACTCCTGGAATCTACCTTATGTAACATGTATAAACTTAACTTTTGCTCTAGGTGTTTTCATTTCAGGTAACATCTGTCTGCCTTACAACATTTATACCCACATCACTTCTCAAAGCCATCTTGGCCTATACTCAGGCTGAACTCAGGAGGCCAAGGCAGACTTCATCTCCCAGATTTTGGGTGAGAGGTTCCCCAAGGGATCCACTCTCCACACAGCTTGAGAAAAATGTGATGTCATTAAAGACATCTGAGATAACATGTGGTGGCCACTTAGCAGACACAAGATAAATACAATATAGTGAATTGAAGCATTCACAGTGACTTCCCCAGAAAGATACCATGGCTCTTGCTTCATATCCCATTAACATCCAGAACAGGTAAAAGGTAAAAAAAATTAAAAAAAAAAGAAGAAGACAAGTAGGCTACAAGAAATTTTAAAAAGAGAGACTGGCCTAATAGGTCACATGTATACCTCTGGACCAACAAAGTGCAGAAGAGACTGATGGTGGTGTTGTCTGAGGGAGAATCTGGTTTCCCAAGGACAGGGTGAAGAAATTGGGGAAAAAGCAAAGAACAAATGTTGTGTATTTATTCAATAGACTACTTGGGTCATTAAAAATCATGTTTTTGAAGATAAATAATGATAAACAGGAAATGCTCACTATTTAATGTTAAGCAGAAAAGAGGATTTAAAAAAGGCTTGTCTATGTCTAAAAAGTTTCTTTAGTATATCTTGGTATTCTTCAAATTCTCTGCAATCAAATACTTAAACAGAAAACTGAAACACTGCTATTCTAGAAGGAACAAAGGTTAATCACTATTCTATTCGGTTCATTTGGGGTATCTCTCATCAATTCCTAGAAGGGTATTTTCTTTTTTCTTTCTTTCTTTTTTTTTTTTTTTTTTTTTTTTTGAGCCAGAGTCTTGCTCTGTAGCCCAGGCTGCAGCGCATTGGTGCAATCTCAGCTCACTGCAAACTCCACCTTCCAGGTTCAAGCGATTCTCCTGCCTCAGACTCCTGAGTAGCTGGAATTACACCTGCCACCACGCCCAGCTAATATATGTATTTTTAGTAGAGACGGGGTTTCACCATATTGGCCAGGCTGGCCCTGAATTCCTGACCTCAGGTGATCCACCTGCCTCTGCCTCCCAATGTGCTGGGATTACAGGCATGAGCTACCACACCTGTCCGAAAGGTTTTTTTTTTTTTTTGGTTTAACAACTATTTACTGTATGCCTGGTATATATATAGGTCAGGACTTACAGTCTTAGAGATATAGAAATAAAAAAAAAACAACGGTGTTTATCTTCTCTCTTACCCACATTCTTATAATTCAATGGCATAAACACATAAACAATGACAGCACCTATAATGCCACTTATTCACTGATGGAGAGAGTAAATGTAAGAAGATGGGAGAACACAGAGAAAGAGTCCCTAACACATCCTGGGGAACTTGGGGAGGGCTTCCTAGGGAATTTTGATGGGTGAATGGGTTGAGGCAGGAGAAAGAATTCTGGGAAGAGGGATCATCTTAAGTAAAGAGTCAGCAAAGGTAGTAACACAGGCTAGGGGAAATACGAAACGGCTTAGTAAGGCTGATAGTTACATTATGTGCACTGGGATAAGTCTGCAGAGAATTCCTGTAGCCAGATCATAATGGACACACTGAAGGGTTTGGATTTGTTCAGAAGGTCATGGGGAGCCAGGAAACATTTTAAGTAGAGGAGCAGTACACTCAGATTTGCAGCCAATAGGGGCAGAAGTGAAAATGCTTCTCTGTATTTAAAGAGAACCTGAACATTTTTATTCACAGGTTAAAACCATTCATTATCTAGACAATTGAAACTTTTTTTTCCTCTTCCTTCTTCCCTTTGATGTTTCCTGGCTGGAGTTTGATGAACTAAATGAACATGGTCCAGATACACACATCTAAGGGTGCTCACCCCACACCCCTTATTGACACTGTAAGGAAGACATCTGCATGGACTGAGTGTTTAGTGGAGAACTGGAGTCAAATTCTTCATTATTAGCAGGCCTTGAAAGTAACTAACTGAGCCTAAGTTAAGCAGTTTTAATTTTTTAATTTGACATTTTGGCTCTGTTTCCCATGGTTATTTTTAGCCCTGTCACATTGTCTGGCATACTGTGGGGGCTCAGTTAATGTTTGGTGACTGAGTATGTTGACAGATCATCACCAAAAGGGACATTCACCCATCCATACATTCATTCATCTATATATCTATCCTTCCATCCATCTGTCAATGCAGTCATCCATCTATCCATCCATCCATCAATACATTTACCTGTCCATTCATCTAATACATCCATCCATGCATCCATTAATCCATCTATCCATCAATACATTCATTAACGCATTCATCCATTCTTCCACCTACTAGGCATGTTTGAGTACCTCCTATATGTCACACCATGTACCAGAACTATGCTAAGAAAATGATACAAAAAAATCCAAATATACTTAATTTTTCAAGGTTGGGGAGGGGGGACACACAAAAAACTAATACCTGTAAAAATAGAGATAGAGACTAAGTTGGTGGAAAGCATAAGAGAAGGAGTGGCTAATTCTATGGTGATTCCTTGACTGGAATAAGGAAACAAAGTAGAAAGTGTTTGAGTTGTGCTGAGAAGGAAGAGGAATGAAAAGTTGAGCAGCTCTTGCTCATGCACATGGAAGAAACACAAAGTCCAAGGCAGAGAATTCTGAAACATCATAATGTGTTCAATGAGCTGCAGTCAGTTCAGAATGGCAGGGAAATGGGGGCAAGTGTGAAAGTAACATGCAAGAGGAAGCTAGAGACAGACACAGGAGTTGGATAAGTAAGTGCTGTACAGACTGTACATGAAGAGATTGGACAGACAGTCAGGGAACTGCAATGGAATTTCAATACAAAAACTACCAACAAAGACCATCAGTGGCCTTGGCCTCAGCTAGTAGAAAAGAAGTTACCAGTCACTCTGTACCTGCTGCCCCAAATTTGTAATTAGGGTGGCCAACACACTGGGGTGTTTCTTATTGAGTCCACTGAGATCTTAAGCCAGGTTTAAATTATCCAACATTTTGGGGTGAATGGAGTTCAGGTTGAGTCTACGTAGTGTCCCAAATGTGGGAAAACTGAAAAGTTTGGTATATTATCAAGAAATCTGGAAATCTCCAGTTTACTGTTTGGAAATGGTGGATCAGGGAACAAATGTTTTGGTTTTGACATAGACTCTTGGAGAGCCATTCACGAGGTTACATAACATGAACTGAATATCACAGCAGTTGGTTTTTGTATATTTGTTTTTGAAGCAGAATCTTGCTCTGTCACCCAGCATGGGGTGCAGTGGTACAATCTTGGCTCACTGCAACCTCCACCTCCCAGGTTCAAGCAATTCTCCTGCTTCATCCTCCCCAGTAGCTGGGATTATAGGTATCCACCACTACTCTGGCTAACGTTTGTATTTTTAGTAGAGACGGGATATCACCATGTTGGCCAGGCTGGTCTTGAACTCCTGACCTCAAATGATCCCCCTGTCTCGGCCTCCCAAAGTGCTGGGATTACAGGTGTGAACCACTGCTGCCCAGCCAACACAGTGATTGTTTTAATCAATAAGCTAGGATGCACAGTTGAGCACCTTTGTGGATTTGCCGGTTGAATTTACTTAAAATCTCCTTCTTTAATTTTCCATCTCCATGTCCTCCACTTGTTTCCTTTTCTTCATTTTATAGTAAAATCAGATACAATTAGCAAGGATTATTTACAGGCAAACACTCTTCTTCAGATTATATGAAAATAACTATGCAGAAATCCTCTTGCTTCAGATTTTTCTGTATTCCTTTAAGATTCAATATTCTGGGTGAATGACTCC